CCCAGACCATGACGGTTGTTAGGGAGATGACGACCTACCTGTCATCTCAACCATCTGTCACACACCAAACACATACGTTGGCGCCCATAAGCTCTTTCACACACATGATGATCTACCCGTCATTTGGGATGATGCTCTTCATCCATGTAACAGAGGCAAAAACACGAGTTCTGCCATTTGCAGAACCTCCAAACCTTAATTCTCCACTCCAAAAATGTCAAAATAACACAAAATTAATATATACATCATTATACCATATTAATCATGTTATTTCTCATCAATTCAATATTTTATTTCATCATTTCTTCACAAAAATAAGAATCACAGTTATGCTATAAAACCCTCAATTTCATACCAAACATCATGCTTATGAACAACTTTACATAAACAATAATCACCATATTTACATAACATGAATTTTAGATCAATACACATGATTAAACATATTAATATCAATCAATATGTAAAATAATCCATCAATGGAAAAAAGGGAAATCTTATTGAAGGTTAAGGAAACCTCTCTACCCTTTCATGATTAAGACACCCTTAGATGAATAATTTCCCTTTACCTTGTAAAATCAGTGAAAGCTCAAGTAAGCACTCCTAAGGTCTCTTCTCTTAAAACCCTATCTTTCAATGCCTTTGTTCTCCTTCTTCTCTCTTTCACGTTTACTAACAAATGCTCTAAAACCCCTTATTTTCTACTTCTCTTAAAATATATACTAACCTAATTAAATTTTTTTAATTAAATTCTTGACCCAACTAAACATAAACTCTTCATTACTAAACACCTCATTTTCTATTATTTTCATTTTTTACCTAAACCTTTACTATTCTCTTAATTTCTATGATTTAATTAATTAAATCCCACCAAAACTAATTAATTAAACACAATTCACCACAAATACCGACACTGGACAAACACATCATAAATCATATAAAATAATTCTTTAAATAAATAAATCAATTAAATCTAATAAATAAATAAAATACTAATTAAGTCGGAGTGTTACATTTCTCATTTGTTTGAGTTCTATGGCTCCTGGTCAGTTAACCTGGAAAGACAATTTAGATGGTAACTATACTGCTCGTGATAGTTATAACTGGCTCAACAGACTTGAATTTGTTCGGAGTACAACCATAAGTAACTCTTGGAAGTAGGTGTGACATATTTCTTCTCATGAGAAGGTAAAATTCTTTCTTTGAACGATTTTACATGAATCCCTTCCTACAAGATCAATGTTGTCTTATCGTGATATGGTATAGACGAATCTCTATCCAAGATACAATCAGGACGCCGAAACGACTCTACACTGCTTGAGAGACTATGAATTTGCTACTCGCTTTTGAAAATTTATTGGCTTATTGAGCCCACTATTCTTCCAATAGGCTAGCTTATATGGTTGAATTAGACATGAAATCAATGATGGCTCTACTGTTTTGGCTACTTGCTGGTGGTTGTGGCACACTAGGAACAAACTATGTCTTGCGAATGAAGTGGTATCTTCCTATACTTTGAAACTTATCATAGTGAATTATGCTAATATTTTAGCTAAATATTTTCTCAAACATAATATGTCCCATCCAATGAGAATGATCACGTGTAATACACACAAAGATAGTAATATGATTTTGAATGTTGATGACAGTAGCCTCGGTAATTCCAACATCTTAGGTTTTGGTGGATTGATTCGAAATGCTGATGGTGTTTGGGTTTACGTTTTTGCGAGTAATATTGGTTGTTCCAACATCCTTCGTGCTGAGCTGATGACGTTGTATCATGGTTTGCGTATGTCTTGTAAACCTGACATCAAATATATGATATGTTACTCAGACTCGAACTCTGCTATCAAGCTTATCTTAAAGCCTATTAATGCTTGACATTACTATACCGCGACTCTTCAAAACATTAAAAAAAATTTCGTTATAAAATGACGAATTCAAATATTTCATATTGTTATGGAGGAAAATGTTTGTACTAACTACCTAACAAAACATAGAACTATAATAATATAATGGATGGATCTTTTGCAAAACTAAAGAATCAGAAAATTTTACCACATACCCCATCATTTATTCCTCTACCCCTACATTATATATTCTTTTACCAAAATATCCTCGTATAAATAATTGTAAAATTTTCTTGATTTAATTATTTGATCCATAATTTAATAAATAAATCTATCTTTAAAAACTAATTTATTAATATTCTTAGCAAACATGACAAGTATTATCTATATCTATTATATAATCTTATAATGTTTCCATCAAAGATTTTCTGCTAAAATTTTTTTATTTAATTAATTAATTAAATATAAATATATTTATTATTAACTCTATCATTTAAAACTTCTGACTAAGTCACATTCTTATATTTTAAATAATTATTAATTAACAAATGCAATAAGATACGTCCTGAATTTTTTAAAAAATACAGTCACCTACCAGTAATATATTTACTATAGTAACTACCCAACATAACTTTTCTCTTCATTCTATTAATTAATCTTTTATTATTAATAACTAAATATTATTATTATTAATTAAATAATAATTAAATTAAAATATTTAACATGTTTATTTTTCAAATTTCTCTTCACTCAACCCTCTCTATTTATATGATACAAACAATTAACATCTCTCCGCTCATAACATCTCTCTAACCCCACAATAATAAGACATATAGTAATATTAAATTTTAAAAAAAGTAAATAAATTAGACATATAATGCAAATCTTAAAATTACTTAATACAAAAACAAATTAATAAATATAAAGTTTAAACAAATTAATTTTAAGATTTGCATTATATGTCTAATTTATTTACTTTTTTTTTTAAATTTAATATTACTATATGTCCTATTATTGTGGGGTTAGAGAGATGTTATGAGCGGAGAGATGTTAATTGTTTGTATGATATAAATAGAGAGGGTTGAGTGAAGAGAAATTTGAAAAATAAACATGTTAAATATTTTAATTTAATTATTATTTAATTAATAATAATAATATTTAATTATTAATAATAAAAGATTAATTAATAGAATGAAGAGAAAAGTTATGCTGGGTAGTTACTATGGTAAATATATTATTGGTAGGTGACTGCATTTTTAAAAAATTCAGGCCGTGTCTTATTACATTTGTTAATTATAATTATTTAAAATATAAGAATGTGACATAATCAAAAGTTTTAAATGATAGAATTAATAATAAATATATTTATATTTAATTAATTAATTAAATATAAAAAAATTAGCGGAAAATCTTTGATGAAAACATTATAAGATTATATAATAGATATAGATAATACCTGTCATGTTTGTTGAGAATATTAATAAAGTAGTTTTTAAAGACATATTTATTTATTAAATTCTGAATCAAATAATTAAATCAAGAAAATTTTACAATTATTTATATGAAAATATTTTGGTAAAATAATATATAATATAGAGGTAAGGGAATAAATGATGGAGTATGAGGTAAAATTTTGAAAGAATCATCCTCCTACTAACCAGAAGACTTTATTTTCAATATAATTTTCTCCTTTATCTTTTTCTCTGTACCCAAAATAAAATAAAATATTACTTACTCTTTTATTTATCCGAGTAAAGAAAAATAAAACCAACCTAACTTAAAAGTTTGCCAGCGTGTTTATTTAATCGTACATCGGTTCCAAGTCCTTCCTACATCTCACGAACACCTCAAGGCGCACGTTAGCATTGTCTTCCTCAAAAAGAACAAAGCGCGTGATCTCACGCGCGCAATCGTTCTCCTCTTGCAACCATAGGAATACACACAATCTCTATATCTATCTCCTCTCCGATTCACCACCGTCGCCGTCCCTTGTTTCCGATCCAATTTTCTTTAACGGAATCCGTAAGCACTTCCAAAATCCCTTGTTACTGTGTCCAATTTAATTTAGCTCTGTTTTCATCAATTGAATGATCCTTGATCCTTTGTTCTCTTAATTTCAAATTTTTAAATTGAATTTCGATTATTTTGTTTTAAAGATGATCCATTTGATAGATTTTAGTTTTAATTGGGATTGGTGAGAAATAGTTAAGTTTCTGCTTCGTTTCCTGAAAATTAGCATAAATTTTTGCAATTTGAAATAACTATTGATATTCTATTATTAATGTTATGAATTATTAGATTTATTAAATCTATTCACTTGTGTAACAAAAAAATAAAAGGTTCAATATTTTGCTTGTTCTTAAGTGAGTAGTTTGAAGCAAATGATTGTGTTTGCTACACAGGAGTAATAAGTCTAGGAAGCATGGACACCTCTAGGTTAGGCGTGTTATCTGACACGCGTTGGTATTCCACACTTGTATGACATTCATTCGACACCATTGGAAAAGTCAAATAAGTTTCAAAAAAGTCAGATAAGTGTCCCAAGAAATTTGTTTTGTTTCTTTGCTTCGACACTCTTTTAATCGGTGTCTATAATCCATATGACACTCATACCACATGTGCCAGACAATTCAGACAAATGTTTCAAACATAATTTGTTTTTTTCTTTACTTCGACCCACTTTTATATATTTTTTGCACAAATCTCACACGTCTAAAATGGTTAAACTCATATTGAAGCAATGTTATCGATATATAATTAAAGACATTAATTTTGATTGGAATATTTTTAACTCTTTTAATATTATATGGATAAAAGAAGCTCAAATACTATCATATATGAAGCGGTGTCGGTGTCTTATGTTTTTGACATTAGTAGTGTTGGAGTGTTTGTGTCGTGTCCCAGTGTCGGTGTCCTATGTTTTTGACATTATTAGCGTCGGAGTGTTTGTGTCGTGTCCTGGTGTCAGTGTCGGAGTCCGTGCTTCATAGGTAGTAGGTGTTTATTTTGTGTGTTATCATTATCAATAATGGTCTTATTTTTTTCAAGCTTAGCTTTGTGAGAAATAGAAACTTAGAAGATGAATATATGTATTGGTTTTTGTTAGTTTTCTTGGTGAGTTATTTATTATGAATTGTCATCAGTGTGAATATGATGAGACGGGATCCAGTGTTTGTGAGGAAGAAGCAATCATCAGTCCCATCATTGGTTGATCTTTGTGTTCAGAAAGCTATAGATAATGTAAGATACCTTGGAAATGTTGGTCCTGTTGATCATCATCTGCTTGAGCAAATTTTGCCGCATTGCACGCTTGACCAGTTGATGCATATCGAGAAGGCCAGCGAAGTAAGACGGGTTTTTGTTGTTTTTCTACCTACGAGTAAAAAGATAGAACAAGACTAAAGTAGTTCTATAATTTGTTGGATTTGATTTTGCAGGGGGATTTGAGCCCTGTAACTGATAAGTTGTGGAAAAAGTTCTTCGAGAAGCAGTTTGGTTCAAATTGCACACAAGAAGTAATTAAGAGAATGGCAGCTAAAAGAGTGTCATTCAGATGGTTGCAGTTGTACGAGGTATTTCCTTTTTACTTGTTTTGTTTTTTCTTGTTCATAACCGGTTATATTTTAGAAGAAATCGAAATATCAAGGTGTATTGATTTCGCGATGTTTTTTATCTAACCGGCTAGGCTAAAGTAAAGGAAATGGCCGAGGCTGAGAATGAAGCACTTGATCGAATCAGGCAACGCTACAAGAAAGAAGATGCAAGTAATGACTTTTCCTCTACCTTTCTGCTACTTCCTTTTTCCTTCTAACAAATATGCATGAGCTATACAAAAAATGATGAGCCTGAAATTTTACATCGAAAACCAATGTAGCAACTCATGTGTAGATATATGATTGCCATCTCCTTAGTTTAAAATAGTTACAAATTATTGGACTATGCAGGAAAGCAGAGTAGGCAAGTAAAGATATGCGCCAAAGTTCCACCTTCAAGTAAAAGAAGATTTTGGGGAGGTAATTTATTTATTTATGTTTGTTTCCCTCTACTTCACTCAAGTTGTAGCTTTTATTTGTTAGTTGTTTCTTCATCTTTGAGGATTTTTATAGATAATGGACCTGGATACAATGTGTCAAATGTGAAGAGCAACATAATGAAGAAGTCAAAGATAGAATTTCTTAAGTGGTAAACCTTTGTCTTTTATGATTATTTGATTTGATGCTTCCAAATATTTCAGAAATCACTTCGCTACGAAGCATACTAGAGTTTTGATTTTCATGCATCTTGAAATTGTATATTCAAACTCAACTGACTGTTTACTTAAGTTTCGTTGATTTGTTCTTCTAAACTTCTTGCAGCCGTGAGGTAAAAAACATTGCAGCAATGAATAAAAACTCTATCCAGAGACCTACCAGGTACCATATAATATCATTCATTGTTTGGTTGGTAGAACTATTTCTCGGCATTCGTTTTTCTCATACCAAACATTGTTATCTGGTTTTTATCAACAACTTATATGCTGTTGCACCATGTTCTGCAGTTCATCAAGCATGATGAAGAGTGGAAGTATGTCTGGAATTGGTTCAACTTCAAAAGATCCCAAATCTTCAAAGAGGTTATTTTAGGAGCAAAATAAGAAAGATAGCAATGCTGTGTATCATTATGTGGTTTTAAATTGTGATGACAGTTACATTTATCTTGATGCTGCCAAAAGTTGTATTATCATTATTTGCTTCTAAAATTTGCTTGGTTTTTATGTGCTGGTGTATTGTTTATTGTGTAGATAGCATCAAAATATGCATAATTGTTGTAATATGTTGATTTCAATATATAGATACAATTACAGAACATTTTCACATCCGATGTTCACGTTAAAGTGTGATGTTCATGGAGCAGTTTAGTTCACGTTTCAATTAAAAGGAGATGTCACATGTTTTACTTTTAACTTGAAAATGTTTACTGGTTTTACTAATGTCATCTACCTAAACAACATTGCTACCTAAGCCATGAAGAGTTGCCTAAAATTTAATTATATGACTGATCAGATCCCGTGTAACACTATTATTCTGATGGAAATAATATATAGACATTTATGCAGAATATAAGTACCAAATTCTACAAAAAGTATGATAACAAGAGACCATAATTCATAGATCTAACATGTGAAGGCATACTTCCCTTTCTCATTATAGCAAATCACATGAAGCTTTATTTGAGTCCAGAAACTCTAAATGCCGGGGTTTATGTGAATGTTTTTTTAATTTCTAATGGAAGGTCTAATGTATTTCAAAACTTTCAACTAATGACTAATATGGGCATAATTGAGTTTAATTTGAGACATTTCAAGAAGTTTATTTTTGTGAAAATATCATTTTTGGTCTTTTAACTTCATCTCATAATCTATTTTGATCTCTTAATTTTAAAAGAGACCAAATTGATCCTTTAATTGTTCAATTAGTGCTACATAAGTTCTTTATGTTCATTTGACTCAAACGACATTTGTTTATGTATGCGTGGAGCTGAAGTGACTTTGGTATGTCATCTTCTTCGCTCCATCATGAGGTTTTATCGTCTTCCTTCCTTTCTGTTAGGTTTTTACTCAAACTGATTTAGGGTTACTTATTTGGCAGAGGTCTACACTAAAATTGGTTGTGGAAATTGAAGTAACCATTAACAATGAGTTTTGGGCGGTGTTCAAACCAACCTAATCAGAAGAGCTCTGGAAGATGATTCCATTGTATACACAGGCTTAAATCTTTGATGGAAACCAATATGATATAGACCATTTGCCATTTACATAGGGTTCTACGCAAGTTGGTTGTGGATTTTTTTTATTGGTTCTATGTGAATGCAGTAGATGAGAAAAACTAATTTATGAAGAAGGAAAAGAGTAGATTGAAGAAGCTAGCAAACGAGCTTGATGCAACAAAAATAGAGGTAGAGAATCTTAAGGCTGCTGTCGTACCTTGAAAAATACGATCATTCGCGAAGCGTATTGCGCACTTGCGAAAAATAGTTCGAATAGAGTCTCCGCCGAACTTTATTTATCCCCAATGAAGGAAAATGAAAATATCGATAAAACTTTTAAAAAAGAAAATGGTCGTCACAATCATATTCAAGTCGGGGAGTCGCTTATGCAAGGGAAATGTATTAGCGTATCCGTTTTACTCAACATGAATCTTTTAGTTAGATTTGCGATTGAATGTTAGCTTATGCCAATTGTTTTCTTCAAATGATGAAAAGTACAAAGGAAAATAAAAAGGGTCGCAAAAATGTTTTTATTAGGGTGGTTGACAAGATTGTGAGTCTTGCTCCTACGTATTCTCAAGTACAACGAGGAACTCAAAGCTTTGTATTTTAGGGCAAGACAAAAAATGTTTCTGGATTTTTGTTATAGTGTTTGACAAGACGTGAATCTCGCTCCTATGTATCCTTAGGTGTGATGGGAAACTCAAAACTACATAGTTCTTGGTAGCCAAGAGTGTTGGTTGGTTGTTTTTAGAGGACGAGTGTTTAGGTCGCATTCTAACAGTTAAGCGTTGGCTTGTATGCTCGCGGTGGAGGCTTAATCACTAGTTTGTATACACGTTAGAAATGACTAAACAATGTTCGTTTGTAAAAAGGTTTTCGATAGCACGAGGGCGAGAAAATATAGGTTTGAATGATTGAAGTTTTTTTTTATCGAACAAGTGTTTAGATCGCGTTCTAACAGTTTAAATATTGACTTGTTTGCTCGCGGTGGAGGCTTAAGGACTACTTTCTATTCGCATTAAAATGGACTAAACAATGTTCTTTTGCAAAAAGAAGTTGTTGATCACAAAGAGGCGAGAAATTAAGTTTGATGTGTTTGAGTATGTTTCAGATTTGAAAGAGAGTATTCATAACTTACAAGCGATTATCACTTGGGCCTAATACTCGGGACTATGACTGAACCTTTCATCTAGATAGTCTTTTTTCTTCCAATTTATTTGCGAAAAGGTTTAAATAGTTACGAGAGTTTTAAGCAAAAGGCAAACACTTGAGCTTGCAAGCGATTACCACTTGGGCTTAGTGTTTGAGACTATGACTGGATCTTTCACCTAGGTAGTCTTTTTCTTTCGATTTATTGCAAAAAGAGAGACACATTTGCATTTTGTTGAAAGACGAAGTATTTTGACTTACAAGCGATTACCACTTTGGCCAAATACTCGGTGATATGACTAGACCTTTCACCCAGGTAGCCTTTTTCTTCATTGTTTGAAATTGTCAAAGTATGAATTAGTCGTCTTAAGTTTTATTATGAAAAGAGCTTGATGTTGGATCAAACGTTTGATTTGCATCGGGAGCATGAATTGAGTTATGAAAAGGGTTTGAATTGATAGTAGAAATGGTTTGATTTGAGAAAGTTGCTTGACGTTGGTTTGAGCTTATTTTTGTTCTTTCGAAAGTTGTTGATTTTATGTAATAAGAAAAAAAATAAAGGAAAGTAGTAGAATTATTACACCTCATAGAATTGGGGATACATTTTGTCGAACGGGGATATGATAAAGCGATTAAAACACAAGCCCATTAAACAAGTAAACAAGGTTCTCATTGTAAGAAGACCAAGAGTAAGCCGAGGGACCAAAAACAATCGAAGTTTAGAGTAATAACTTTAGCTCTAAGTTAAGCTAACATAAAGTGGATTCATGTATGAATTACTCCATAAGAAGTCGGGTAACAAATTTTTTGTGTCCAAGCGTGTTCGAAAGGAAAATCAAATTTATGTTTCGAATTCGTAATGCAATAAAAGACAACAAATTACAACAGCACTACACACATATAATCGATATTTTAATCAAATCGCAACGTAATCGAATTTTAGTGCACGATAAAACAAACTATACACCACTAACAGTATGATACCAATTAAATCGGAACACAAACATATTTAATCAATATACCAAAACAAATTAAAGTTATAATAAACGAATATATAAAAGGATATTTAAACAATGAAACAATCAAAACAATATTTAAAAATAATAGTTATATTATTATAATTAAAACTAATAAAATATAAAATAAAATAAAACAAATACAGTTGAAATAAACAAAACAAAACTATACCATTGTAAACAAACAAATAAATAACCAAAATAAAAAAAAAAAAAGAAACATAAATAAAGATTTACGGTTGCATAAATTTTTGTTGGAGAAACTTGGGTCACCGACAATGCTGAGGTGGTGGTTAGCAGCAGATTTTTCCTAAATAGAGGGAGGTCGGTTTGTAGTGGAATGTTTATGGTGGAGCTGAGTTTGGTTTAGAGGTTAGACTTGAGATTCATGATAGAGATTAATGCAATTATGATATGAAAAGGTTATATACACTTGCATCAGGGGATTGCCCGAGGGAGTTTCAAGTTTCGCCGGTGAGGAGTGTTAATTTGTCATGAAAGGTTTGATGGTGACACCGTGGGTGTTTTGTTGCAAGGTTTAGAGGGCGATAAGAGGTTGTTGTGAGGAAGAGAGTTAAGGATGTTTGGATGAAGGAGTGTGTGCAGAGCTTTGTGGGCTCGTGGTTGTGGAAGGGGTTGTGTTGCATAGGTACGGTAACGTACCCAATACCCGATATGGGTACTAATACGGAGTACAATATTTTTTGAAAAACTATGGTATGAGTATATTAGTATAATTTTTTTAAAATACATTTATAAAATAACAAAAGAATTATATTGTTTAAATAACATCAAAACATTAAAATTAAAAAACAATTTATTTAAAAATAGTTAATATCTTCGCAATAACATAAGTAAATTATACTTAAAAAGTATCAATAAATCATGTCATGGTTGAATATCTATATTTTTCTCTATGATATCATTAAAAAGAGTGGCTTATGGTTCAGGTTCATCAAAAGAAAGACTAACAACTTTAAGAATATATTCTACATCAAATAGATCTCATTCATTTCTATTAATATCCCATATTTTTATTGTTCCTTCAATATAAACCTTACTCTTTTTCGAGAGAAGACAAAGTTTGTATGAACAAAAATTAAATCATTAGTCCTCTTTAGATTGAGCCTATTCCTTTTCAATGAGTGAATAAATAGAATGATTAACATAATTTTTACTCAGCAAAAAAACCCAATGTGTACCATCCAATTTTTTTAAAAAAAAATTGGGTACTGTTAGAACACAGATTGGTGTTTAATTATATCTCTATGTTTTGATGATAACTCTAATGAAATTCGGTATTAAGAAAATATATACTCTAATTTTGTTCAAGTGTTTTGTGTTTCAGATATTAAAATAAATATCATTATGGAAGCAAAATGCATCTGAACAGCAAGTTACGCAAAGCCCTGAAGCATCAGAAGCAAGTCATCAGAAGACTCTGAGCGCAGCCAGAAGAGACTCTGAAGCAGAAGTTGCAGAAGACTCTGAAGCAGAAGCTGCAGAAGCATCTGAAGCGTAGCTGAATAGTTTGTATGAAGAGTTTAAAGCATTGTTTCAGAAGACTCTGAATGTACTTTACGCTGCAAGTACAGAGGCTCTGGAAAACAAGTATGCTCTGATCAGATCACTCACGTTGAAGCACTGTTGCTGCAACTCTTATATCATTGAATCTGATCTGAAGAACAAGAAGCACATCAGAGGATCTG